CGGCGGCGGCAATGGCGGCAACCAATGGCCTGGGCCGGTAAGTAAGGCGAACGGGGCCTTTTCTGGCCCACGGGCCGTAGGTTGCCGACCCCTGGTGTAGAGCTTTGCATGTTGGCCTATGACTCTGGAGACAAGGGTTCAATTCTTGGCTCGGCTATGAAACCCACTGGATGACCTTGGCAAGTCACAAGCTCTCAGCCTCAGGGGAAGAAAATGGCAAACCCCCTCTGAAGAAACTTGCCAAGAAACCCCTGTGATAGGTTAGCCTTAGGGATGCCACAAGTTGGCAACAACTTGAAAACACAACAACATACCTGGAGCTTGGAAAGGTTACTTTGAGGGACTATAACACCCAGAATTCCCACAATTGCCTGTATGGTAGAAACCCTGGTGGCACAGTGGTTATATGCCAGTACTGCAGCCACAAAGTTGTGAGTTCGATCCCAGGGCTCTAAGGTTGACTCAGCCTTCCATCCTTTGGTACATCAGTCAAATGAGGACAGGTTGGGATTGTTGGGGGCAACTGGCTTGCAGATGATCGTACCTTCTGGGCCATCCACAGGTATGAGAGTCCAAAGCCTCTCACACTGAGATTGCTGTGGTTGCATTTCCCTACGACACCACACATTTGGAAAGCATGCATAGAAAAATGAGCACCTTTCAAAGGCATGCAGAATATGTACTTATTGAACATGCTGACACAAATGGAAGAACAAATAGAAAAGGGATACGGAAAAGTGCTCCTATATATGGTGATGGCAGCTCAAATAACATATGCTAGAAAGTGGAAAGAGCAGAAGATCCAGACTACCGAAGAATGGATTATGAAACTAATGGAATTATCAACAATGGATACAATCACAAGTCAGCTAAACAACAATCCTACATAAAATATGAGGAAGAATGGAAAGGAACAGCTAAATTGTGGGAAATGAAATAACCCAAATCCCACACAGCATAAATGGAAATCAACAAGACATGACACCGTCAGGAAGTGTAAACTGAATTCATTACAAATTACAAAGAAAGCTGTAAATTATAAAAACAGTAAGAAATATTGGATCTTTAACTGTAGAAATTGGCGAAGGGTGGGTATACAACATTCATAATTGTATAAAGAGGTATAGCAAGACAGGACAAACCAACAAGAAAAAACCCCACTTACAGTGACTGAGGACAGGAACTTTAGGATGACAGAAGTACGAATGAAAGAGTACAAGAAAGAGAGAATGAAAGAAGAAAAGAAGAGTGACCGATAAGAGTAAACAAGAGTAGATAGTAGAGAACTTTCAGAATGTGAAGCTCTTTTCAACCATATTTTTTGTAACATTTGTTAATAGATATTTACTTGATTTGAATGTAGTGTATGTATTGTATTAAAATTATTAACCTACTTGTTATGGTGTTTGATTCTGTTTGGAGAAGAAATGGCATAAAGAACTGAAGCAGAGACTTGGTGGATAAGATCAGATCCAAATGCCTTCTGCCTCAAAATCTTTGTTTCCAACAATGTGCAGCCTGATTTTTCTAAAGTTCTCATCTTCTTTTTTCCTTTCCATGTCTGCCACCATAACAAGTAGGTTCCACAGTTTTTGTGTGGGCCACAAGATCTATTCAACAATTTCCTACAGAAGGAGAGATGGCATATTCTTTTTTAAACTCTGCAGCTATATGTGAACTATTTCTTTACAGTTATACATTGTATTTATATTATTAAACAGGTTATAACTATTATAATTACTTTGTTGCACTATACTTCTGTTAACAAAGTCATGACAATTTGCTATAAAAGTTAACTGTAGTTACCATATTCAGGGTATTCCTATATTTGTGTTCAGGCTTACTTTCTAGACAGGACCTTTGAGTCTCCTCTGGGAGTCTCCAAGACCTATTCTAAGTTTTTAAACTTTTTGAGAGTGGAAGGAAATCGCCTTCTTTGATATGTGGTGGTGAAGGACACTTCACTGGATACCACAAACTGCTAAAAAGACAAATAAATGGGTTCCTGTGTGAATCAGGCCTGAGCTTTCCCTAGGAGCCAAGATGACTAGCTGAAGCTATTGTACTATGGACAGATCATGAGACGACACAAACTATTGCAAAAGGTGATAGTGCTGGGAAAATGGGAAGGCAATAGGAAAAGGGAAAGATTGATACACAGGTAGATTGAGCCATGAGACCTGAGTTTGCAAGCAGAGTCTCTTGGAAGTCCCTCATTCATAGGATCACCATTAGTCAAAGTTAACTCGATAGCACATTACAACAACCACAAAGAACAGATGGGGGTGGGAAAGAGCATGCAAATCAAACTTGAAGTCTTCCTGGAACCCTGAGTTAAACTGAGGCTATTGTACTTTGGCCATGATGATGATGATGATGATGATGATGATGATATTGAGAGCCATCGTGGTGCAGTGGTTTGAGTGTTGGACTACAACTTTGGAGACTGATCACCCACATGAGCATAAAAACCCACTCAGTGACCTTGGGCAAGTCACACTCTCTCAGCCTCAGAGGATGGCAATGGCAAACTCCCTCTGAAGAACCTTGCCAAGAAAGCCCTATGACAGGTTCATCTTAGGGTTGCCATTAGTCAGAAATGACTTGGAGGCACACAATGAAATTTACTTATATCCCACCTTTCTCGCAATATAGACAAGATTCACTAGGAAACGTGATAAAGCTCAGGAAAGTTGATAGCAATAGGAAAAGAGGATTACAAGATGGATAGACTCGTTCAAGGAAGCCACGGCTGTCTTGAGTTTGCAAGACCTGAGCAGGGCAGTTGATGATTGAAGCTCTTAGAGGTCTCTCATTCAGAGGGTTGCCATAAGTCAAAGCTGTCTTGATGTGAACAACCACAACAGCAACAACAACAAATCTGACTGTAGGATCTCAACAGAGAGAAAACCAGATGCATATGTGGATGTAACTCCAGATTACATGAGTGTATGTCGCCAATAGAATTCTAGTACATCTCTCTTTTTTAAAAATAATACTTCTAAAGCACTATACAGAGGACACTTGAAAATGTATGACAACACTTTCTGCAAGGGAAAGAGAGAAGCATAGTCAAAGGCCCTGCATTTGAAACAGCTTCCAGGTCTAAGTGCTGGTTAAGACCTCTTCAGGGACAAACAAACCTCATATGTTAAAATAAAAGCCCCAAAGATGAGCGAGCGGTGATTTATGGCAGTTTGATGCAAGTTGAATTTCTTCCATACTTATTTGGCAAGCAAGAGATAAATTCAATTTGTGCCTCTCTCTTCCTTTCTCTTTCTCTCTCCCTTTCTCCCCTGAGTAAATTATTTGCTCTCGCCTTAATTCCACCTTGGTGGATAGGATATAGATAAAGCGCTTCCATTACGGACGAAGCTGTTAGCGATCAGCCTCAATTGCCCCGTGCTGTTTCACTCTGCATTTCAATTTTTATTTTATTTTATTTTATTTTAAATCATTTTCATTTGCTTTCTGGGCTTTACAATTATGATTAGGATGATTATCGATATCGGGTTGGAGCTGGGGGTCTTTGGTCACGGTTGGGCACACCACCGGAGGTGGTACCGGAGAAAGGCCCCTTCGTTTACACAGATAATTGTGTCAACCCACAAAGCCGTAATTCGAAAGAAATCTAAGACACAAACAATAGGGGAATTTTCCCCCTCTCTGTCGCTCCCCCCTTTCCTTTCTTTCCAAATGTGCTGTCAAAAGCGTTCCTCCATAATTTGATCAGCAGGAAACGGAGCGCAAGAAGTGAATCTGACGCACAGCTCTGCAATCATGCCGGTAATATCTTCAGTGCAGAAGAGAGAGAGAGAGAGAGAAAGAAAGAGAGAGAGAGACTTGGACGCCTGGAATACATTGCTCCAGCTCTTCATGTTTAAGTCAATAGGAGTTAATAGACGAATTGACGAGCCAGCAGAAGGGAGCTGGGGGATGTCAGACTGGAGAGACGATCCATTTGAAGAGGAGGCAATCTTGCTTAGCTGCTGCTGAACTCTTTCATTGATGCAGTCTTGCCAAGTTGCACAGAACTCCTTTGCTGGACAAGATGAGGACAAGGGTCCCTAAAGGTGGAGCAAATGTGTTATAGCAGTTAAGAGTGTCGGACAGCAGTAGCTGGCAGCTCCCCCTCCACTGGGGCTAGAGAATCTGCTCTGGGCTGTCATTTCTAATTTCAAGGAGATCCTTGTTTGTGGGGTTTGATTCTATCATATGGGATAGTTCCTTTAAAGGTTGAGAGTGCAGTGGTTTAAGCATTGGACTATGACTCTGAAGTCCAGGGTTCAAATCCCCACTCCGTCATGGAAGTCCCACTGGGTCACCTTGGGCACATCACATTCTCTTAGCCTCAGAAAATGGTAATGACAAACTCCCTCTGAAGAAATGTGCCATAAGGCAGAAGGCACAGAGCAACAACATTGTTCCTTTAAAGTCCATATAAGACTTTATAGTTCAAAACCAGCATTCTGAAATGTGCCTGGAAATAGACCAGCAGCCAGTGGAGCTGTTTCAGCAAGGGGGTAGGATCTAAGATTGAAATATCACTCCTTCCCCAGTCTGTAGATCTGTAACTTGGCTGGTTCTACTCTAAACATTGGCCAAGATGATGCTTTTTGAAACTGGCAGAGCATCAGTCTCCTCACCCAGAAGATCTGGCCTGAAGTCAAGGAGGTCTGGAAGGAGGACAAAGAAAGGTGATCTGGGAGACAGCAGGAGAGGACTCTCCGGATTCATGCCCACAACCATTCAGGAAAGTTTGTGTCTCAAGGAAGAGCTGTTCCCAGGAGCCACCCATATGTGACTGTGTTGTCCACTGTGTAAGGAGATCCTGGATACCTCCTTATACAATGTTAGAAAAAGCATTTCTACAGGGATAACCCTCCCATTATACCAGTGCTAAGCCACTTTAGGATTCCAGCCAGAAATCCCCCTTTCTCAGCTCTGCTTTATTTTAAGAAATAATTTCTACTTGCAAAACCAATCCAGGATTCCTAATAGCAAGCACAGTTCTGTAGCTGAAAAAGCCTCAGCCAAAACATGTCAGGGAAAGGTGCCTAGGGTGAAATTAGCAAGTTTGAAGGAACTCTAATGTTTGTAAAGAATAGAAATTCTTTATGAGGAACCCTCTTAAAAAGCACAGGGTCAAAAACATTCCCCCAAATAAGTGACCAGCTTAGTGGCTTCAGCATGCTCAAGGGAACAAAGAAAGATTGCTCAAGGAAACAAAGAAATCTTGGGAATGGAGTACACTGTATGAGAGGTGGCTGAAACTTGGTGAGGAAAGGAATGGGATATCTGGTGAAAAGACATGGCTGGCTGGAAATCCAAACAAGAGTCTTACACGCTGCAACTTTTGGTTGTGGCACACAACTTCTTCTTGTTCTTCTCCCATTTCTTCAGGTTCTTCCAACACAGGTTCTCCAAAATCCAATTTATGTTTGCCTTCTTCTCTCCTGAAATAGATGGGGAGATCTGGGGCAAGGAAGTTGACCTTTCCTCTCAAGGTAGCTCCCCATTTGAATCTGTAGAGGAACCAGTGTGGGGTAGTGGTTTGAGTGTTGGACTAGGACTCCGGAAGAGCAGGGTTCAAATCTCTGCTCAGCTATGGAAACCCACTAGATGACCTTGCACAAGTCACACTCTCTCATCCTTCAAGGAAGGCTATATAGCCTTCTCGGAACATTGCCAAGAAAACCCTAGGAGAGGATCATTATAAATTGAGGGCACTAGGGGGCAGCATGGTATAGTGGCTTGAGTACTGGACTAGGACTCTGAGAGACTAGGGTTCAAATTCCCACTCAACCTTAGAAATATCCCAGGTGAACTTGGGCAAGCCATACTTGCTCAGCCTAAAGAGAAGGCAATGGTGGCAAATGTCTTTTGAACAAATCTTGCCGAAAACCTTAAGAGAAGGTTGTCATAACTGGAGTCAACTAGAAGGCACAAAACAACAAGAAATACATTCTCCCACACACTGGTGCTTTCACAGATCAGAGGATTGCAGAGGAACCAATTTACAAACCCTAAGAAAGTCTTTAACCAGCATCTTGGTGCCAACAGTGGCTGCCTCACATTCACCAGCGTGTCCATATGCTGTGTGACCTTTTTTGCTTCATTTGCTCCTCCATAATCTTATCCCTAATTCATGGGTGGGGAACCATGGCACCCACAGGTCAGATTTCTGCTCAGGGATCTTCCAAGGGTGGCACAGAATGCCCAAAATCTTGCCCCCATGAAAAGGGCAAATATCCATTTTTATTTTTATTTTTAAAAACTGCATTCCTTGGAGTTAATTCTGGGTACCACTGTAACTAATTTAAATGATTAATAGGTGCTGGAGGAAGCATCGAGAAAGGCAACTCACCCTCTCTTTTCTGGACAGAAAGTAGGCTAGTAGTCCAAGGAATCTGGAGGGGCCGAGGGACACAAAAACAGCCTTGGAGGGACATATTTGGCTCCTGGGCTATACATTGTCCTCCCATGCTCTAACTGGATGCTGGACATCCCTCCCGTGGGTGAAAAGCTTCCATTAGGGAATCTAGCAGCAAATTGTTGACATGCAAAGCATCTTATCTCCTCTTTCAAATGTAAGCTCACAACTTCCTTCTCCCTGTCACTCCTAATCATTAGATGGAAAAAATGAAATGCAGAAGTCTAGGATAGGCAAAACCTGGCTTAAAACAGCCCAGGTGGAAAGGATCTAGAGGTCTCAGTAGACCACAAGCTGAACATGAGTCAAGAGCAGGGGTAGGCAACCTTTCCCCTTTAAGGGCCGAGGGACTTCAGCTTCCAGAATCCCAGGAGCTATTGGCCAACATGGGACTATTGGCCAACATGGTTGAGGCTTCTGGGAGCTGAAGTCCCTCTGCCCTTAAAGGGGAAAGGTTGCCTACCCCTGGTCAAGAGTGTGATGCAGCTGCCAAAAAAGCCAATGCAATCAAATGGGAGGAGATTATCCAAAGTGAGAGAAGTAGTGATGCTTTTTTTGGATCTCACTTGGAATCCTGTGTCCAGTTCTCAGCACAACCATTCCAGAAGGATACTGACAAACTGGAATGTGCTCAGAAGAGGGATGACCAAGATGTTCAAAAAAATGGAAGCCAAGCCTTCTGATGGAGTTGGCTATGTTTAGCTAGGGAAGAGAAGGTTGAGGGGTGACATGATAGCCAAGTTTAAATATTTGAATGTCATGTTGAAGAGGCAAGAAGCATCTTCAACATGTAGGACAGAGAGTAGGACATGGAGTAACGGATTCAAACACAGGGAAAAAGATTCTACTTAAACATTAGGAAGAACCTCTTGACTGTAAGAGCTGTTCAACAGTGGAACAGATTGCTTTGCAGGCTAGTGGACCCTCCAGCTTAAGCAGAAGTTGGATGGGCATCTTTCAGGAGTGTTTCAGGAGTGTTTTAGTTGCCTTCCTGCATGGCAGTCAGTTGGACTAGCTGGCCCTTGTAGTCCCTCAAATTATAAGATTATATGATCGAATGAATCACTCTATGCAAAAACTGCAGTTCCCAAAGGCAAAGTAACATAATTCTTTAGCAGGCATTAACCTGAGTATGTGTGAATTGTTCCTCTGTATCACAGAAGAATAGACATTCAAGGGAAATGACCAACATTCAATTCTCTGGAAGGCATACAAAAGTGATCCTACCCAAGTGTGGGAAAGGATGGCTGATCCTCAAATAGACATTTTAAAACTCATGAATATATCCCCCTTCTTTCTAAAGTTATATAGAAGATTTGGGTTTGGATTCTTCAAAGGTAAATCAAGACTGCAAAAACCAAGACACAAATGAGATAGAAACTCAAGCCTTACACTATGGAGTAGGAGAGGCAGGATACTTTTAACTAACGAAAGAAAGAAAATTTGCAAAATTTCCTCATCCTAGACAAGAAACAGACACCCTGTCATAAAAATTGTTAAGTGCCACATGATTGTTTTGCTCCTGACTGAAAGTAAAAAGCAGAGTGCTTTTTTTTTTTGTCAGCAGCCGAAATAGCAAAAGAAAAAAATACTCTTTTTTCTACACAAAACTGCTCCAAAACTTTATATTTCAGGCAAAGAAGTTATATTCCTTTCTGAATTCCTCCCCACCAAAGTCTCAAAATGTGAAAAGTTATCAAGAAGGCTGCAAAGTCTCTTCATAATCTCACCAAGCAGGGGGGGGGGGGGGAATGTGATTATTTTTTTTCTTGTGTGCAAGAACAAAGTAAGTAAAGTTTTTTATCATTATTTTCAACTGGAACAAGTCAACTGGTTCTTCCTAATGTTTAGGTGGAATCTCTTTTCCTGTAGCTTGCATCCATTGCTCCATGTCTTATACTCTGGAGCAGCTGAAAACAAGCTTGCTCCCTCCTCAATATGACATCCCTTCAAATATTTAAACATGGCTGTCATGTCATCTCTTAACCTTCTCTTCTCCAGGCTAAACATACCCAGCTTCCCAAGCAGCTCCTCACAGGGCTTGGTGGTTTCCAGGCCATTCACTATGTTGGTCACCCTTCTCTGGACTCACTCCAGCTGGTCACATCCCTCTTGAATTGAACTGGACACAATATTCCAGGTGAGACCAGACCAAAGCAGAAGAGTGGTATTATTACTTTCCTCCATCTAGACACTACACTCTTGTTGATGCAGCCTAGGATCATATTGGCTTTTTTAGTTGCTGCATCACGCTGTTGACTCACCCTTCCACGTCAGACAAAAAATTTCAGCCGCTTCCATAGGTGAACATGTGTAAGACACCAATGGGATCTGGCGAGTGCAAAATAGCAGTGTGCAAAGCCAATGCTCATTTGGACTATTCTATTTTGTTAATTCTCTAACCCCTGTAAAGTCAACAGCAGTCACACTCATAAAACATGTGTTTGTGTGTGTATTAAAATTGTAGGGAGCTTGGAGCAATTTCAAAACTAGGATCTCTTTTTCTGCAAATGTATAACCTTTTCTGGGAGTGGTGGCATAGAAAATCAATCAATCAATGCAAAGTACTACGGACAGCAGCATAAAAATCTTTACATGAGAGCCCATTTTAATTCCTGCATCATCAATGAGGCTGAGACCCTGATTCCACCCTTTTGTTTTGTTTTACTCATGTACCTCAAATAAGTCACAAAAGGAGATGATCGCATCAACATCAGGAGACCCAGAAGGGACTGGGGAAGACAAAACTATATTGTAATCATTGAAATTTGTAAGCCACTCTGAGTGCTAGCCTTAGGTGAGGTATAAATAAAGATGATGGTGATATAAACAACACTTTCTCCCATCAGCATCAGGCCTACAGGCAGTGAAGGTCTGGAACAATTGATCCAAATGGACCATTGATGATCTGGCCCCGTGTCAGTGGCGTGGGTGTCAAGGTTGCTGGTTCAAGATTGTCCCAGGCCTTGAGGTTTCTAGGCCAACATCTGGGATCTTGGGACTGCCCCTGGTGATGTCATTAAGTGTTGTGAATTAAATACCAGCCACAGAGCTTGTCATTCAAAGATATACACACAGAGAGAATACAGTGTCTTGTTTGGAAATCCAGAGAGAAGTCTTAAATTGAAATGACAGGATTACTTCTTCTCACCTACTTACATTTAATCTAGCCTACTTGCTTCTAGCCAGAAGCTGGAGACACAGCAGAGCAGAGGGTGAACCCTGACACCACAAGGACTCGGAGGGAGGGAAGAAGCTATATGGAGACCCCTTGGGGGATCTATTGCAGTAATGAAACTGTTGCAAGATGTTGCCCTGCTAATTCAGCTGCAAATTTACACATAATCTTTTCCTCTTGCCTGAAGCTGAGCAACCCAAAACTGGAGAATTTGCACCTGTATCTCCTACCTGGAGAAGAGCCATGAAAACTGGAGACTCAGGGCTTGGCCCTGAGATCTGGCAACCTATTTGTATGTGTGTGTGTGTGTGTGAGAGAGAGAGAGAGAGAGAGAGAGAAACAGACAGAGACAGGTTCTGTTTCTGGGCTTATATAGAACACCTTCGGTTCACATGTGTGAACTTTCGGTTACACTCTTACATACACACAGGAGAGATGTCAGCTCGCTCTTTTGCTCTCAGTGCCAGTGCTATTTTAAAAAGGCCAGACCGACAGGCCGGCCACTCTGTATCCTCTCCACGGCAGGAGCTGATATAACTGGATGATGGGCCTTTGTTAACAGAGAAAATCCATTTAAGTTCACTTGCACTTTTTCCAATAGGCTTCCATTATGCCTCAGGGGTCCTCTGCACTAGATCTGGGGAAAAGCAATGTGGGTCTGGATTCAATTGTTGCCTTTTAAACGCTTTCCCACTCACTCGCGCTCTCATTGCCTCCTGCCACAGAGGCAACACAAGGGAACACAAGCTACAAGCCATAGTCAAAGCTGTGTTTTAGGCCCAACACAGCAGCCGTGGGAAGTCAGAGCAATGCTAGGAACCTTCCTAGAGTTTTCAAACAAGCAAGCGCTATTTGAATGTATTGCAGGTTACCTTTCCTACTTACCAAAACAAAGGCACGTCTTAACAGTAAAAAAAAAGGGGGGGGAGATTCCATTTGTACTAATTAAGGAAGAAATCATTATTATTATTGTGGATTCTTCTTATTCCTCTTATTA